GCCTGACCAGGAACATAAAAACCCTGGCATAGAGGCGCTTCAATTGCATTTGATAGTGCAACACTGAGTACAGTCGTACCTGTGTTAAATTAATAGGCTAACTTTATGTATCAGGATTCAGGATTACGGGCTAATTTGATATTTTCATAAATTAACGAAAAAATATTATTATAGGTAACCTGATTTAAATAAATTAAATGAAACCATCAATCGAGCTAGTAGATTTATTTTATTATTCATCAATAATCAAATTCAGAACTTGAATATTCAACTGCAATGTCTGCTCATGAATGCTTCAAACTCGGTACTTCTTTCCCAATCCCATAAAATTCAACACTTAGAAAGTGACAAAATTTTTAAAATAGGTAGTTGAAACAAACCACAGCTAATTTTCATAGTGGACTGTACTATACGATAAACATGTCAGTCAATTTGACAACCTTTGTCGGAAACATTATTCAATGAAAATATTGTCCGAACCCTTAGTATTTCTCTTCGACAAATACTTTAACACATTGTGAACCACTTTTCTTTCACGACTATAAAAATATTTTAGCAATTTAATAAAACCAATTGCGCACATTTAAAATAAAGTTTGTTTACACTTTGACAGCAATAGACTGACATGCAAGGTGACATGTCAATGAAGTTTTCAGTTACTGTTGCCATTAAAATAAATTAGTACCATTAGTTTTCCGCAACATGGCGAGGGTTTTTATGTTCCTGGTCAGGCTATACATTTTTAAGCCTTAGTTTTTCAAGTGAAACCTTAAATTCAAGAAAGGATTATTTTTTAATTTGTGAAAATGCTCTCCATTCATAATGGGAATGTTTCAATGTTGACAACACTTCTGAAATGTCAAAATTCCGTCGAATTAAAAATCAGAGTTTAGTTTCGTAATAAAATTGTTTTATAGAAGGCTTATAGAGAATAAATCGAGTTTAATATTTTACTAATTACTTAATTGTTTGTGTAAAGTGTAGTGACATTGAAATTTCATCAAGAATTTTTATCAAGTAAATTAATATGGTGTTCATAAATATGGGACGAATTAATATGAACGAACGCCCTGTATAAATAACACACACGCTGCCTCTACGGTTTGCAATAAATCTACAGCAGATTACGCCCCACGACACATCACTTCGATAAATCTTACAAGTGGAATAACAAGTAAATTGTCACCATCGGTTGTACGTCCGGCGCGATACGGCCGCAGGTTCGGTGCCCGGCGCGGCAATTTATCGTGGGTGCAGCACACGGGCCGGGAAACATGGAGCTCGGGTATTTTACTGGTCGCGAGGAGGATAACTCACGCGCACGCGAGATGTTTATATTATTATCAGTACCTCTAGCATGAACAACTTTCGTCTTTCGTATTCGAATCGTTTGCGTATTCAACAAAATTAGATACTCAACCGTCGAATTACACGATAACGTGACCATTTTGATTCTCAAAATAAGTTTCGAGCAACCATTTCTCATACTAAGTTCACTTTACGACACGTTCACAAGGGCGCTGTTGTAGTTTTCATACTAAATTTTTGATGGCGATTCGTATACGCAAACGATTCGAACTCGAAAGTTTTTCGTGCTAGCCGTACAGATGCATGGTTTCATTTTACTCGACTTCCCAATAAAGTGGGTAGTGTTTTCAAAATGTTCGTGGTATGTAAGAGAAAGGTTTGCTTTGGGTCACAAATTCATTCTGTACTGTAAGATATTACAGACAGAACAATATCTACAACAATCACTTGTTGTAATCATGTTACTTAAACGTAATAACAAATATTTTATTTTTATCCAATTAATTATTATATTTAATTTATCTTTATAAAATGTAGTCGTACATCAATCATATCTCCGCGTAGTGTATCGAACGCCCGTATTCACAAACGATACTTGCTTAAGTGAAGCAGCAAATCAAACGCACAGCGTTGAGAGCTCTGTGATTGGTTCGTGTATCACTCTGTGCGTCCACGCGCACTGTGAGACCTCATGTTTGTGAATACGGGCGTAAGTATAAGACATGATAGCATATCTGCATATCTTTACGAAGATTGTTATATTTTTTTTACCGACAAAGAAAATGCTTTACCTTAATTTAGAGAAATCTTGTAGATGGTCTATGCTACACAGCCTCATATTAGGAGGCTTCCGGCGACTGGGACCGCAATCAACTGGGACCGCGGTCCCAGTCGCCGGATACGTAAAAAATAAATAATTTTCTTCCGGCAACTGGGACCACTCGTAGATAACTTAGAAAAATATATTATTCAGGCCAAAATCGGTACAGTCATACGAAAAAAGATCAGCTGGTAGAGAATGACGTATGGCATTAAGCTCGCCTTTTTGTACAGAACATTGTTGTGTGTGCAATAAAGTCTTTAAATAAAAAAATTCTAAATTATTTATATGGTTATCATTGACTCGTTCTAGACATGATTTTATACTATGCGCTTAGCAATAAGTAGATTAAGATAGGCCATTTTTACATACATTAATACAAATACTAATATAATGGGACTGAATACTGTAAAGCATTTTCTACCAGTAAATTATTATTTACTGAATTTCATTTATGTAGTACAACATATTTTTATGCTTATTATTTTCCCCTTAGAATCTACTATAAATCCACTATAAATCTACTATAAGTACTATAAATCAAACGACTGATTTTTTTATTAAATCAGTATAACCAAGCTATGGCGTATAATTTTTTCCCCAGACACTTTTATTCATGAATGTACAAATATTTCAAATAATACAATGTATATTATCTTTTCTTTCAAGCGGTATAAGATGACAAAAGAAAAATAATAAAAGTATTCATGTGGACAATTATTCCCGCGGTATAAGTTTTAAGCAGTAGATATGAGTTGACTAAAGCCTCGTTGATTTAAGGGTCAAGTTAAATAAATATGTTATATTAAGAAATGATGTTTTTAAATTAAATAGGATTTTTCTTCAAATATTACACCTAAAAAAATTTCGTTTGACTGTACATTTTTTGATTTCAGTTATCATTTACGAGTGGTCCCAGATGCCGGAAGAATATTATTTAATTTTTACGGATCCGGCGACTGGGACCGCGGTCCCAGTTAATTGCGGTCCCAGTCGCCGGAAGCCTCATTCATAGATATCTGCTTCAATAAATATAAATATTATGCTGTTACAAAGTTGCATTCATAGTTCCGTTGTTAAGGAGCTGTGTTTCTCACTAGGAAGCGATGCAAGATTCATTGCAGGGCGTCGAGACGGGTTACCTCCACCATCGAATAACAAATGATCGAAAATCAAAATATCGAACATGTTTCATCGAACGATCAAAATATCGAATGATTAAAATATCGTTATTATTTTTCGAGCTTTTGATTTTCAATCATTTGTTATTCGATATGGTGAAGGTAACCCCGGCGCGACTATTTATTCCCCGCGGGTTCGGCCGCTGCTACAGATTAAGCGGCATTGTGGTCGCTGTCGCGCCGGCCACATTCAGCTGCCTGTAAACTGCTCTAGCCTTTACAGAACAGGCACCTAATGACCGGGGACATCGAATCTAGAACACACATTTAGGTAGATTTATTTTTAAATGTTGGATATTTTAGTGTTCATCATCAAATTTGTATGGCTCCATTTGTTATTATAAATTACTTTGAATGATGTAAGTACAAAAATATAACTTCAAACGATGCCGATTATTTATGTACAGATATAATATCACCATTTATTGATATGGTATTATTGGTGTAAAACGATTTGCAAATAAATAAACCAGACTAAATTATTGACAGACTAGCTTCATCATCATCATCATCATTTCAGCCACAGGACATCCACTGCTGAACATAGGCCCTAATATGTATAACGTTTCTTCGTATAATATTGCGTTGATGTCTTCTAGCGCGTTGATGTCTTCTAGGCCTAGCGCGTTGATGTCTTTTGTATCGGCGCTACATTGGTTTAAGACAAAAAACTGATAAAATACACTTTATAGTAATTATTCTAGACTTCTAAAGGGTCGAAGTTCACCGGGGGCTCTTAAAAAGTGTATTTTTACAAACGTCGGACTAGGATTACTAATGTTTGGCCAAAAAACGTTTCCTTAGCAAATTATTGTTTGGCAAAGTATGTTTCACGATAAACTATTTACAAAATAATGTGATTGGTGCATAGAATGGAATACAAATTAGCTTGTGGTTATTATTTTGTTTAGTGGGTAGTTAATATAAAATTTGTCCTAAATTAATTTTCTTATTTCATTCTCTTTAACGAAATTTCCAAATAATTCATTAACAATAGAGGTGATTCTAGCGCTCGGCGGCCGCTGCCGCGGCACGCTTCGCTCGCCTTCGCGCGTCAAGGGTCGCTGTTCTAACCTAACCTAACCTACTATTTTCTATAATACCTACTTTTTGCAACCATACTATTTTCTGCAATCTCTTAGTTTTACAAAAACATTCTTGTGAAAACCATGATCATGTGCCTTATGCTTTGATTTGTGGGTAACGGTGGGTAAGTATGTGAAATGTCAATTTGACCAAACAAATTATTTGGGATATAATATTTGGCTTTCCTCTCCATGGATTTGCCTTAATCGCCACGCTTGGGCGGCGGGCTTGGGGGAGGCCTTTGTCCAGCAGTGGACGTCTTTCGGCTGAAACGAACGATAATATTTGGCTTAGTAAAACATTTGCTAATTATAAACATTTGCCAAGTAAAATTTTGCCAAATGATAATTTGACCAAATGAATTAGTTGCGAAAAGTACAGTTGCTAAAAGTTCATTTGGGAAATGAAACTTTGGCGATAAGTTGTTTGCGAAGTTAAATTTGGCGTTTTCCCATGATTCTCTTAACTAAAGTTTTGTGTAACGTTGTAAAATCACTGCGCACAGGCGCGAATGCGAGAGTCAGCGACGTTAGCGTCAGTCGCGCCCGCGCAGCCGCGGCGGCCGGCAGCCAGCATCACAGAACATATACAAGGTCAGCACTCACCTTAGCCTCCAGGCTCTCGAGGTTGACGACCCCGCCCCCGCCCCCGCCCCCGCCCGTCTCCAGCGTTTGCTGAAACAAAACAACATGATAACCCCGGAACAAACTGCAAGCATGCTGCTCAATGAAGCATACATATTAATCGATTTTTTTTATTATCAAAAACAATAATTCATCTATGTATTTTCAGCTGGCTCCTTTGTAAAGTTCGACACGGAATTTGTTGTCCCAACATTGTTTTTTTTTTCGAGTTTCAAGTGAATTATAATATCATTCGTAATTAGTACTTGTACTTAGTAGCATAATTTATCTGACTATAAAAAAAACATTAAAGTAAAATTATAACAATATAATAATGGGACTACTGAATCTATAATTTAAGTTAACAAAAATCTTGTAAAAAGCTAATGAAAATGATAACAAATCATATCTGTTAATACTGACTTATTAATAACGTTGCTAATCAAACTAATTAAATATACTCTTCGCAAACTAATTACCTCTACTTTACATAAGTTGTACACTCTGCTTAATACAATTAGCTCCGTTCATTACGTTTTTGTATCTCAGTAAAAGTAATATATCACGGTTTTTATTACACTAATAAAATTATTAACTACTTGCGTAATTAATTATCTTACAAAAAGTAATTATACAAAGTTCATCGACTTTTATTTAAGTTATCTTTTTAATGTTCATGGCAAAAACTCGGGGCTATATGGTGAATAATTACAGTTGAGGCGCTATTTTGAAGATTGATGGCGATATATTCGATTCTATTTGTCTCTGTTACCCATCCTAATATGCTTTAATGAGAGAGAGACGGACAGAGTATATTTTTGAGTCATATGCGGAGTAGACCCCTGGATAATGACCGGAGATGAGTCGTTAGATTCGGAGGTGTGGCAATGACTGCTTAATTATACGCACATGCATTTAAATTAATAGTCATATTGCATTTAAGAATCAAGATTCAAGAAGATCAAATGTTATTCTGAAAAAAAGTATGAAGTTTTTTGCATATTGAATACGATTTTTTTTTGTACGCATGTTGCTAATGCAGCTAAATTAATACCGAAATATTCCATTCTTATATTAATAATTCATAACCGTATGCTATGTATGAATAGGTGTTTGTATTGCAAATCGTTTGGCACAAAATAATTAGCAGGTACACATGAATCGCCAACCTAAATGTTTACACTGAGTAGGTTCAAAACATTTGAAGTGATAATTAGTTGGTGCATCGTCAAATCGGGAGCGTGCGCGCGCGCAATTAAAGCTGTTATCAGCGCGCGCCGCCCGCTACGCGGCCACCAATCTTGATACCGCGAATTTGAGAAAATATAAATTGATATGACGCTGTAGCTCATTGTTAGACCACAGCATCTTGATATAGTATTCCTCGCAAGCTCCAACATATTTTTAACACCCTCAGATCCAAAAGCATCTACGCACTGTGTTAGCTTCCTCGAAGGCAGTAGTAATAACATGCGTGCATGCAGAAAATTGTATATTACGTATTATAATAACTTTCTTTAGCGTGTAGACCGCTAGGTCTTAATGAAATAATTACATATTAAAGTTGATATCAACCTGTACAAGCTTTTATTTCTGACAGTTACATATTTCGATAATGGACATATCAGCCGATAATGGCGCGGCGCGCAGCGAGACGCGCGCCGATAATTTATGATAATTCCTGATAATTTTATTGCTCGTTGCGCGGTCGGCACGAGTGCCTTACCTTGTTCGTTTTCTACTAGTGTTCTCCTTATTCAGATAATGTTGTCATTATTTTTATCTAAATGTATTTTCATTTTCATTTATTAAGGAAATGAGTTTTGTCTGCAGATACCAGGAAGTAAATTGTTCGATTTTATTTTTTTGTTAAGTAATCAAACCACATTTAAGTATTAAGGCGTAACTTATTAAAATAATATATGTAAGGCAATACAAAAAGTAAACATTAGGTACTATTGGCGGCTATAATTCTGAAACTTTTATTGACACGTCAATCCCGTAACGGGACTCCCGTTGAGCTATCAACCCATTCATTTATGTCGTAATGTAAACACAAAGGTGATTTAATGCACAACTACTTAATATGGCCCGTCCTAGATCGAACCTAATCCTCAGTGGGCCAGCAGTATGAAGGCAAGTGGGACGCTGCCGCGCTGGCGTAACATTACGTTGTCAATCTGCGCCTCACGAAGGGACGTGCTTCTGTCCGGTTATTGCGTTAAGCTATAATTAGAACAATCGACTGCTTAATGTGTATTCAATGTTTTGCATTTCCAAAGAAGTCATTCGAAACCTGGTAAACAATCCTTTATGTAGGGCACTGTCTTCTATCATCTCCTCATTGCAGCATTGAATGAAAATAGAAAAAATGCTACTCTTGGTAAAATATAGAGACACATAGATGCAAACAAGACTATACACATGTGTATAGCATTCAATAAATGAAATTAGGATTTAGAATATGATTTAGAATAGAAATAGTCTTTTAAATTGGTTGGATGTGCAATTAAAAACCATCCTCGTTCAAATTAGTTAGATAAGACTAAAAGTAGATTACATAGCATCTAGCAGCCCTGTGACAAGGCCGTGCGTGGTGATCCGAAAGCCCAGCCGAGCGATCGCTTCTCTAATGTCGGTCGCCAACGAGCGCGCGCAAAAACTGGCTCCGATGCGCAGTCGCCGGCGACGGCGAAACTTGGAAGAGCGGAATTCACATTCTGATCTGCTGGCGAGAGCAGGAACTTCCATCGCAATTTTATTTATTTATTTATTGACAAAAATCTACCAACAACACATCTTTACACAAACAAGTAATGCATAATAATAAATTTGAGTTACAATTTACTAATTTTACAGACGGGAAATGTACTACTACTATACTACGTACTAATGTACTAAGACTATATCTTTAAACTAAAACACGCAAGCTAATCTCTAATGATGCCACTATACCGGTTGGATATAGAGAAACTAAATAATCTTGGTCAGCGAGAACAGACAAATTAAGTTTGTTTATAATAATGAATAGGTTTGATACTTGATGTCCATAATCAAATCATTATTCAATCGGAAAACTCATGCTTTAGCTTTACTTTGAGAGCTAAGACATTTATGGGAAATTTAATCAATGTAGCCAGGTTTTTTTTAATCTTTATTCTTAGTAAACAAAGCTAAGTCCAGAATGAATACATACATTAAACGTAAATTATTTTATAGATCAACCTATTTTATAAAGTTTAATTTATAGATGACTTTTAATATCAGTTCAAAGAAGCCGCTAATAAGCTGTTACGAAATACCTGGACATAGATTTAGATTCAATGCGCGAGCGCTTCGTGTAGTTCGTGTATGTCAAACATCGGACTGAAGTAAACAGCGCAATATTTCACACGTGACTCGCGTTCGGATTATACATGTTTTGTCACTGATACTTACATAACTGGACTAGATACTACATTAACCTGTTTTTTTACAAGTCGATGGTGTGATTTCACACCTTTTTTGTTGCAAGTAGCAAATAGAGTTAAGGAAGCACAATAATTCGGAATTCAATTCAGCGAAATAGGGAATGCTTATCTGCAAGTATTTTTTAATATTCGAGTACGCAGTTATAAAAAATCATTATAGTATTTTTATTGAGTTTTGACTTCATAATATAATATTGTAATTTAGAGTCGATACACAGAAGCAATAAAAATACAAATTATTTACTTTAATTCGATTGAATTCAATTCTATTGTATGTTTATTACATTGTCACACGCTTATTGTGCATATGTTTATAAACAATGCGTGGTCCTGGTCATTGCACCTATCACATCAACCGTAACAATTAAATCACATCATATTGACAAAATAAATAAATGACCCGTCAGTATGTGCGTGATTCGTTGTCGGCCGATCACAAAGGCGCGTGCACGGTGCCACAATGGACTCCCGACAACAAATAAACAATGCGGTGTCATAACGGACACTTTGTTATTGGGTCAATCTGACGCCATTGTTGATTTTATGCTTCAGCAACACAGCCTGTAACCTGTGAACTATTTCCGGTGCGCCACGCAACATCGGCCATCGCTTGACACTCTTGTTTTTCTCACATTATTTGGTTTTTATGCCAGTAAAGTTTCTGAGATCACTGATAAATTTTTGTTCAGCTAAAACCGAATTTTCATTCTATATTGTAGCCGTATCATTGTCAAAAAAAAGAAGGAAAGAAAATACTAAAAACCAGATAAATAATAGAGTTTCAGTAAATGTTTCACTAATCATATGATTTACTAACTACAGTTGATTTATTAATTTACATAAGGTTTTAGAAACTTCGTACAAATGCTGTTTGCTTGATGTCAAATACCGAATTTTCATTTGCATTGATATGAGTCATTTATTAACACACAATGCAAGTCATCGAAACTATCGCGGCGCCTACGCAGCTACGTAGCGCCAATAACGCTGTTCATTAATTACGTATTGTTCCGTGCAATATGCATAATAATTACAGTGATTAGGGTGTTATTAGTACCTATTTATTCATTTGAGTGTGGAAGGTAGTAAAATGTAGAGTGGCTGGAATACTCGTGTTCTTCTGTAACTCTTGAATTAGTTAAAAACACGCATCTACACTTATTATGGATAGGGAAGATTAGTGCCTGAAGCAGGTCTTGTATATGTATAAATATTATTATTTCGGTATAACTTCATAGATATAATAATGCATTTTATAATGATCGAAATATTTTGTTTGTTCACACGAAATCAATTCAACTGAAACTAATGATAAAATTATCTAAGAAGATACAAGAACAAGTTATAAATTGTAGAAAAATAATTATCTTACTTAGAAACGAATTCATAATCTTTCAATACGTCAAAGTCAAAATTGCTTTTTTTCATTGAGTTATAATGTACTAAGTAATATTACTTCAATGCTTTTTTTGGAATAATTTGGATGGAATATTTTAGACAAAATAATAATAATAAAAATAGTGCTTACAAATCGTCAACTGCGCAATGTCACGTCTCCAACAATAGCTGTCGACATGGCCTCCCAACACTTCGCTGCTAAGTTTTATTGCCGTTTATCTAATAGCAGTTCCCTCTGTACACAGATACATTTGCCGAGTGTATTGCGACACATTGCGGGCGTGGAGTTTGCTTACAAAATTAAACCATTACAATTAGAATTCTCATGTTACACTTATGTACGACCTTTTATACTCGAGAGGTAATGTGCAATATTTTAACTGTATAATAGTGCCTTAACTGGTAGTAAACTACTAAAAGAATTGCAAATTATCTTTACTCTCACAAGATTATTCTCATAACACTTAGCATATGCATATAAAATTAATGATAGCTCACACTGTTTATCTTAACGCATTTTTACACTAATCGGCTTAAGTAGGTACGTCAACTTGCATTAACTAGTCTTATAATTTGCTATTAGCCAATAAATATTGTGATGTACGTATACAACATTATTAATTATTATAAAAAACATAATGAATAAAACAATAAATAATATTGTCCATGTAAAGGTAAATTAAAATATAATTACAAAAGAAGGCGCATTTTTAAGTAATGCAACATCCGTTGTATACGTAATTCAACAATATATCAATGTACCTTCCGCATCAAACAACCGTACGCAAACTTTATTAGTTTCTTTTTTTGTTCTTTTACTTTATTTTGTTGTATTTTTGCCTGAATGGCTGCTCCGAAAGTGATCAATGATTCACAATTCTTAGTTTAGTTTATTAATTAAGCAACTCATAATTATGTTATTGCAATTACAGTATTTATTTTAACAATATTTATTTAAACGAAAAAGAGTTTAAAGGTAGGTTCCGAGCGTAATTAAATCAATATATTTAAGACTAATTGGACAAATGAGTCATTACTACGAGTAAAATAAAAAAAACAAGTTTCCAATTAAAAACAATCTATTTAATTTTACGTTTGAGAGTCAACTTTCGAACCGAATCGGTCTTTTTATCGGCATTTTTTGTTTTAGTGATGATTATCCTCTATGTTATTTACAGTTCTAACAATTAAAATATTTATACATATAAGACATTATCTGTTAAAATGAAAGTGATTAATTAGGCGTGTTTGCCATTTGTCAAAGAGGTTTCTGCGCGCGCCTCGCTCGCTTTGGTCAACTCCTGCTGCGCTAATGGTTCTTTGTTACGCACATGTAATTACTGATAACTATGCCTTGCTGCAATGTTTGTTTTACTGACGCTCTTGTGCTTTAGAAATACTGTTGTTCATGAACATAAATATAATGTTGCGTATGACGTGGATATTAAACGTCAAAGCGTGGCCGTTGCGAGTTATGCGTTATTTATAACAATAATTAAGCAACAGGCAAATAAATTAAGCAGTGTATTGTATAGGTATTACGAGGAAATTACGATGTAACCAATGCAATTACATCCCAACTAATATTATAAATGCGAAAGTAACTCTGTCTGTCTGTCTGTCTGTTACGCTTTCCCGCTTAAACCTCGCAACCGATTTTGATGAAATTTGGCATAGAGATAGTTTGAGTCCCGGGAAAGAACATAGGATAGTTTTTATCCCGGTTTTTGAAACAGGGACGCGCGCGATAAAGTTTTTCTGTGACAGACAAAATTCCACGCGGGCGAAGCCGCGGGCGGAAAGCTAGTATTCATATAATTTGTATTTTATATGTATAGATATAACATACAAAAATCACTATTTTGACGACCTGACATGAGACAAACATTTCTGTGCATATATGAACTCTAATATTGGCACAATTTAATTACTAACACCGCATTTTTCTTTGTTTAAAAAAAAAGATTTATTTACTGTTATTACTTATCTTCTCCTCTATTAAACAGTTTTGGAATTATAATATACAGAACGTTTCTAGACAAGATCATAGCCCGCGGTCCATGAACACGCATATAAATCACGCGAGCATGCGGCCCGAACGTGCGCGAACGGAGAATAAATTCGCGCAGACAGCACCGCGGTAATTACACGTGGTTAGCGCAGAACAGAGCATGTGCCATGCGTGAGGGCTTAAGGGCCTCACGCATGATTGATTATAAAACTTACGACAGTAGTGATATTCGCAGTTTATAGTAAAAGTATTGTTTTTTTAAATCAAAACCCAAAAGTAAAAATAATAACTGAATGATTTCATCACTTTTAACACACTCATGAAAAAAAATGTACGACATTCATGTTCAAAAGCTCTGCTTCGCCTTTGTATTTGATTTTGAATTTAACTACTCATAAATAATAATTTTAAGCGCTGTGTATTATTCATCTCTAATTTCTACAAGTTAGCAACTCATAACAGCCCTAACCATCATGGTGCGCCCACGCATCGTTCTGACGCTATCTTACGCGTGTTAAAACTATAATTCCATGGTAGATATCATTTATCGCTCTGAACTGGCTTGTCGGCCAAGAACTATTTTCTGGCAAGGTATGGTATTGGTGGTGTGCCCATTAAAACGATGTGAGACAGTCAATGACTGCGTTGTTTGTGATTTCAAACGCAAACGATTAATTAGTTACGGTAGGCGAATGCGACCGTTAAAACTCGAAACTGATTTGGATGTAACCGACATTTTATGAGTAGAATAGAGTTATAAAGAGACGGAACGAATGTTCCTACCACCGATGTGGTAACCATCTTATGTTTTTTTTTATTATTCATACGAAACCACAGTGTTGTAGCATGCACAGTGTCACTTTGAGCAAATTATTCTGTATTGTCTGTCAAGAAAGACGATGCACCAGAGACCAAAGAGGACCAAATAAAAGCCACGCCCAGAACAGATCTAGGGTGACTTATCAATGTATAAAAGGTATAATTCATTTATGTAACTGCCAATTTCTATTGTTGTCTGACAAATTGTATGCTCTTTGAGCGGTACATAGTGATACTACTGTAACATGTCACCTATGATTCTCAATAAGGATTTTGTATTTGTATCTTAGGTTGATTCAGTCGGTAGAAGAAGTAGCCAGCCAGTACCAGAGTAAATACAAATGAGTAGGTCATCTTCATAGAATAGAAACGCACCGAGCGCGGTTTGTATGTAAGATAACATTAAAAAATGACTGTTTCTTTCAAGACAAAATTTTTGTAGAGATGTTATTTACTTTGAGATAATTTGGCGTGGATTAGCGGAGTGTTGCGCCGAATTTTGTCAGTGAGTGCGTGCGCGCCGTATGTGTATTGGCGCGCTCACATACAAACCGTGATCGGTGCGTTTCTATGAAGATGACCTACTCATTTGTATTTACTCTGCCAGTACTCACCAGGGAGGCGGAGCGCTGCTGCTTGAGCTCGTGCTGTGCGCGAGCGCGGTCCTCGCCCGCGTCCGACAGCTGCCCGGACTTGCGCCCGCTGCAACAACCACGTCATCATTATCAACATGAACATCATGAACAGTATACTTAGTTCATCGCAGCTTAAAAAATCATATAACTCATAAAAAACATTGATTTATTTATGCAAGCAGGCTTTTAAGAAACACTTTTACACCTGCAACCTGCTGGAGGTTGAAATTTCAATCAGCAAAGTATTAAGCCAATACCTAGTATAGTATCTACTCCTAGTGGTTTACAAGGTTTATCACGAATCACATTACGATTAAAATAAAAGCTTAGTTTTCTGCCCGAGTTGCCTAATTTGAAAATTCAAAACAGAGAAAAAATGTTCAGAGACAGAATATTATACAAACTTTGATGGGTCATAAACACAATATTATAAGATCTCTACAGTCCGTTTAAACGATGGAAGTTATTACTGTTTAGATTATTTTAATCTAGTTTCAACCAGAGCTTTCTCAAGCAGCATACTAAAGAGCATTAAATTACTTTTACTCGGTTTTACTTTCACGGAGATGTAGTGGATGTTAACAGGCGCGTGAGATGCGCTGTAAATTACTAGGCGCTTACAGCACGCCCGCGGCTATACAGCCGCCTAAATATGGAAACTAGCCGTCCGTGCGCCCGCGCCGGTAGCGTAGCGCCGCGGATAATGGCAGTGCGTAATGCTGAAACGAGCCGTCACTTACTGCTTAAGTACTTCTCGTAACTTTGAAAGTTGAGTGTAAAACCAAATTCTGTAAAATTATTAGAAAAAGATTATAAGAGTGTAGGTTATATTTTAGGGAAAAAAAATTTTGGACACCCTGTATTTAAAGGGCTACGTGCAGGTCGAAGTCCACTGCGTACAAAAGGGAGCATTACATTCGCATTTCATCTCTTTTACGCTGATTGCTCCTAGTGTTTACCTGACACCTGAGTCGAGTCGCGGTGCGCTTTCTTCATTAAGTTCGCTTGGCTGATTTTACTACTAATGAACCATTTCCCAACCTCACACCTACATTCATTAGTTAATTATAATGTAGTCAATAAATTAGTAACAAAAATTAAAGTCTTGTAAAGCACAAGCGCGATTTATGTTGTCTGTTTAGTAACTGATTCAACAGCTCATTAATTCACTAGTTATCTTAATAACTCATTTTTGTGGCCTTGTGGCTGACTTAATTGCGCTGACTGCTAGAACAAAGGCTTAATAGCAATATGACTTTACTAACACACTTTATAGGTACTTGTTTAAAGAAGAATACCGAAGGATACTGTGTAAATAACCTTGGACACATTTTGATCAAATCTGCTTCAAATGTATATGGACGTAGTAGACTCACATTTATTATCTAGGTTGTTACGTCTTTCATTTATAAAGACAAATTATTTATTCCGTACTTCCACCACTTTTTATGGACCGAAGATACTTCAGTGATTATTAAGAATTATCTCAAAGTAAATAACATTTGTACAAAAATTTTATCTTGAAAGAAACAGTCATTTTAATATTATCTTGATAATCAAATCATAAATGCGCACCCACTATAAGTTTTTGTCTTACATGCCTAATCATCATTAGGAGGTTAATTAAGTTGTTTTAGTTCGTTTGAGAATGATTCAGTATTGTATTCATTTTCCTCTAGATTATCAGAATTATCTAAATCTTTATGATCCTAGCTCTGTCTTGATGCTTGTAGCAATACGATTCAAACCAAACCTTTGAACGAAATAACGTCATTTATGCAATAACCACGTTTGAAAACATTTGTATCATGTATGTCAAACTCTACAATGCAAAACGCAACTTTTAGGTCCGGTGAAAATCTAAGCAAGTAAGTGAACCGGTAACTATCGAATATGTAAATTCCATGCCACCCACATACCTAGTCGTGTAAAGGATCACAAAAGGCTATAAAGAGTTCCATTCTCCAGAGTGTAATGTGTCCACTCCCGCGCACAGATCGCTCGAGTCCGATTCTAAATGGCAATAGATCGCATTCCGATATCCAATCCGTAATTTCTAGTGAATCGGTCAGATAAACTAGAGCTAATGGACCAGTAAATTATGTTATGTATTTTTAAAATACTCGTAGCTTGTGCAATTATAGCAGAGCAAGAAAAAATACAATTGATCTGTCTGCGTTCTATTCGCGATATTACTATTCGTGCGGACTTCATCTTAAGAATCTATGCTTCTCTAATAAGCCATCATTTTTAAACAGACTTCTTTAACTTGAACTTGTCCATTAATTCACAAAATCTGATAAAATCTTTGACTGTATACAAAAGTTAGTCTTTTATCAAGACCATGCAGCTTTCCCACCCACTCCCGCGCACCTCGCGATCCACTCCGCTATGGTAATTGTCAGCATTCCTCTCGCCATCGCGTGACAAGGAGAAATTTCGACTGATCGCTTCACGAAAACAATTATTGATTCCTTTGACTCACTTTAATTATTAGGAGGATCACAATCGCCACGCAAGAACTGATACAAAATCACTCGTACAAGTAACACACAATAAGAACCTAATTGTTAGGGTGATCAAAGTCTTGAAGTAACAGTCAACAGCATCAGATAACGCAACATTGTTCCTATCACCAGCTAGCTAAGGAGTTTATGTATGGTTGGTGATGGCTGATGGGTGCTAAACTAGCTAGACGAAGAGTTGCTGTGTGCTGGCTCACCTGGCGAGCTTGCGGTGCGCGCGGCGGCCGCCGCTGATGATGGAGAGCGTGCTCATCACCGCCGACATGGTGCCGGCGCTCCACCATGGGACCTGCAAGGAAAATAGTGCTTAGTATCTTCACGTAAAGGACCCTTCACCACGATAGTCGATACTGCTGGTTTTAGTGTCACGTGGACCGTCCGGTGCGGACCCGCTCCGCACGGCCAATCTGTATGAACTTCTAGGGAGCGTTTTAGAGTAATGCGGTCCGGAGGAACCGCTCCGCTCTCTAGCAGTTCATACAGATCGGCTGTGCGGAGCGATCGGGACTGACAGTCCGCGTGACACTAAAACCAGCCTAAGGAGGAATTTTTGTTGCAGACTTTTCACCGATTTGTTTTTAAGAAATAACATAACACTACATATTAATCTCACGAGCATGTCCGCAGTGCAATAAGGAGTTAGGTATTTGTTAAAAAAAAAACAACTTAGGTTACTGCCAGGAAGACATTAATCACATCTAGCTAAAGGCAGCTAGATGTAATCTAGCATTGTGTAATTGATCCTAGATTTGTAGACGTGAATGCGACTGCGACAAAAAGGGATGTAAATGACATATTCAAGCGAACACAGACAAATTACAGGCATAACTAGAGCGGGATAAAAGCGGCAAGAATTTAGGGCTGTCACTCAGGTTGAAATGTTATTTTTTATAATACAATATTAAAAACGCACCAATCAGAATGGTAGGTATATGTAGAGTCACAATAAATTTTTGTTTATCTATTGTCTAAGCGTATTTAAGTTAATCTCCAAATTGTTTAGTAAATTCTAGAGTTTCTCTGTTCAATGAGGCTCAAAAGGTTACTCAATCAAAAGTTGAACCAAATTATTAAATTCCATAACAGAAGTTTAGCGGTGCAATTTTTATGTTTGTCTCTAGGAGGCTATTTGTGTAAAACACAATATTTACATAGAATATAATGCTCTAAACTTAATAAACTTATTGTTTTACAGTTCCTATGATTGCCAACCCTATATCACAGCAAATGCCTTGAAAGGAGCGTGTTGAGTGAGCTGTAGGAAGTAGGGAACGGGCGGGTCTCGGGTGTCGGGCCACTTGATATTGCATCGGAATTGAAACTTATACCTCGCACTATTGAAAGTGTTTGCGAAGGCCTATTTCGATTCAAACTGTATCATTTAAGATTTTTGTTTTAACTTGCTTATGGACCTACTCGTAAAATAAACATTTCGCAATCGAGGTATGTATGTATAGGCAAAATCCGGACTCTTTTTTTATTTGTGAGTAAGTAAAGATCACCGGTTTTATGTTATTGGAAAAAGGCTAATGTGAATATCGTTTACATAAACCAGATATAATATTTTATACCCACATAAACTTACAGCACCTTGCTCGGCTGACTTTTATGATAATTATTCAATTCCATTTAAATGATTTTATTTTTAAGCGCCATTTCGAACTTAACAAGTATAAACTTTCGCATAGGTTTATGTACAATGTTACATACTGATTGTATATGAAACAACATCATTTAATTTTTATTAAAAAAACCTACGAGTACTTTGCATGTACGCTTGTGTTTCATACAAATGCACCCTTAAAAGAAAACGCTAGTTTTCCCTCGCATAACAAACACGCTACGATACACCATAAAGTAATTTTTATTTGAAAAATATTGATAAGAAATGATTTAATATTGATAAGAAAATTCTTTCGTTCTTACAAAATAAACGAAACACCTTGATTTTATGATAGGTAAAAATTAATAATACTTTATACGAGTAGGTACAGCAGGTTGGAAAAGTTTAACAACTACATATTTTACAATTTAATCACCTTAACTATTATCATAGACTCATCAATGTCATCTCCTATAATCATTATCGTTCACAAAACAGCAATAAAAATGCTAAAGTTATCCGATTGATTTTAACGAGCGCGACACGACGAGCGCGACAACTTAGCCATAATTTATAGTTTAGATCCAACCTACCGAAAAACTTTCGTAACCTAATGAGAAACTTGTTTTTTTTTCTGATGCAACATTTTTATAATAGGCCAACCAATAAAACTTTATCAATATTTAAGCTAAAATTAATGAAAAAGATTTTTTTTCCTGATACTACGAGTGATTACACGAAGCTATAAGAACGCATAGAGCAATGATTAAATATCACTTGCTAAGTTTAACCCCGGATAATTTACATTTCCAGTGGGATGCACCATCTCCAATCTCCATGTCTATCTGAACCACAATCGCCGCGGGCGCAATGCTATGTTAAATAAATACGGTTCATGCACTGGACCTTCATTTAAATCGAATTGAAGATGGAATGGTGCAGCCTGCATGTGTTGTTTATCGCTGAAAACGCCCAACGGGGCCATAAACATATGGCAGTGTTAAGGCAGAGTGGTTTGGCATAATCGCGTTGTGCATTCCTCCGTAATCGAGCAGTCTGCGGCCCGGGCAGCCCGCAATCAGCGCCGCACGTGTCATTACGTTTCTTGATTCCGTTGAGGACTTGCACTTGGACGCATTTTGGTTATCATTTATCATTATCGATCACATCATCGTATAGTACAGTTATTTAACAACCAGGCAAGCCAATAAAGCGAAGGCAAGCAATGGCGATTAAACAGCATCTCAATAGTGTTTTGTGCAGGCAGGAATTTTCCAGTAGACTGCGTAAACAGACTGGAGTCTAGAGCGGAGGGGAAATATCAAACACAGGTCTTCTAGAAAAACTTCTTGAGTCATTTACTCGTTGATTTCAAGTAGACAGAACAATTTATATCTACTCTATATCATCGTCATCACAATCCTATATAATCAACTGTCCAACTTCTTCTCACTACTGCCTTTTCGTATACTTGGCGTAACAGAATACGTGGCGTAAGCGCAGCCTCTCGCGCATGTTACATTCAATAATGGCGCTCATCTACGCGCGTGTAATCCGAGGGACAATTTAATTGAACGGTTGGGTAATGCGCGCGCGCCGGCCACGACGCCCTCTCATGGTCACTTGTGTTTACAGGTGAATAGGGGAAGTAGACGCAGTAGGTTAATTTACAATCGATCCATACGTTTATTAAGCTAGGAAAACTTTCTGCTAAGTGCTTTTTTAAAATCAGCTCGACTTCTAAGTCAGGAAAAGTACGAACCATAATGTTACACACTTCTTTAACCCATTTGCATCGTGATCATAGAGGATGCAACTGGATTTTCTAATTCTTTAAAAAATCGTCAGGAGTACAGGAGTATTTTGACACATGATAAAGCAGCCAGTGGACTTACTTCACCCACGTCCATTGTGCCCCAATTGCGACCGTGTTTGCAGGAGTCTGAAGGTACTACTCACATAGTTCTACTCTAACGGTGTATGAACATGCAATTACAGATAATGTATAAGTGTATGGCAAAAGGGGGGTGTTGGCACGCGACGCACCCAGGACAGTTAAAATTACACGGCTACTTACAGGTCAGCTTGAAGTTGATTTTTAAATACATATTTTACTATTAAGTACCTACTATTTAGCAGTATACGCGAAATATTTCTGCTTTTTCTACGTTATCCAGCAATGGAGATCGAATACTTTGTAGTAACAGAGTTGGTAGCATTGCGCAAGTAAAAAACCCCGTTCTTAACAAGATCATTAATAAGAACCGTTATTTATTTATTGATTTAAAATGCAAATCATCTACAATTCTATCTAATCTACAATTGGATTTGAAACGCCAGATCTTATACTCATATATCCGATACACACCTATATCCGATTGTGATAAAAACAACCATAAACTATGTAAACTTGCGCTCGCGCAGCGTACGCCCGTAAAACTATTAAATCAAACTGGTTTGTTCACAAAACCAGTCCACTTAACCCATAATTTAAATAGGAAGTGATCGCGATACGAATGGGAGAGCGTGTTGTTATTGTTCGACTTCCCGCCGATAACTGTGCATGAATAGTCCGCACCATTATATTTGGCAATTTCGTATTAAAGATGTGAAAGATTTAGTCTCAATGGGCTCAATGTTATTTCACTTGAAGTGTAGAGGTACCTATGGCAATCGGAACTTACATCAACATGAAAAGTTTGCCTCTAAGTCCCTTTATCTTCTGGACTCTACCACACCCTACTGATAACAAAACATGGGTGCCAAGCAAAAACTTGCACAGCGCATTTACGCCATGTGTCAGCATCTTTCGGCACTATGGTGTCACAATATTATCTATCGATTAATGTTTCCCCAATCTTCCAAAATATCCTCCGGGTCATTTGGAAGCGGCGAGTCACGCGACGCGAGCCGCGTCATGTGCGCGAGATTGATGGGCGTGCGTAATTGCGCCCGCTGTCGCCGGCAGGTGGCAGGGCTGCTGCGGTCGGCTGAAGGATCGACCTAATAAGGCGGTGGCAGGGTTAGAGCTCCTTAGACCTTGAGGTTATAGCATTTTGACCAACAAACGTTAACATATTTAATCCACAGCCCATCAAGACTGGAAAAAGAAAATAATTTTGATGCCGATTGGCAAAATTTTTATACATATCTCAGAAAATGTACTGAATTATATAATTTTAAAATATCTTAAAAGAGAAATGAATCGGAGATATTACATGCGTTATCGAAAATCAAACCGTCATTATTGGCTGGCTAAAAGCTTTTAAAACTGTCACCCCTAATATGTACAATTGGCGGGGTCCAGGAAACCGTACGTTAGATAACAGTTAAGTAATGGGCGTCTGTTTGCAGATCGACAAATGCAGCTTACGCTTACGTGACCGCCCGCTGCACGCTGTGAGATACGTGGGACACTATTTAAGTTGTGAGCCTAACTATGAAAACAAAGTAGTTTATTATTAAAATGGTATTGATTGCGTTTATTGGTATTGTCTTTCATGATTTATGTACTTTTTAATGTGTTCAAAACACTTTTCATAGCATTTTTTCCACTCAGCTTGAGGCACCTCCAAAGCATGGTTTTTGACTGCACCGACAGTTGCTTCTGGCTACATAAATCGCTGTTCACGCATTTAATTTTAATATATGGGTACCAAAAGAAGTGTTTAGATTCCAAGCAAGAA